CCTAAACCCTAAAACCCTAAACCCTAAACCCTAAAACCCTAAACCCTAAACCCTAAACCCTAAACCCTAATTACTTGAAATGCCTGGAGCAGTCATCGGCGAGGCCTTCAGCAGCAAAACGACAAAACCCTCGGACTGCTGCTGCTCCCTTGCGCAGCAGAAAGTAGCAGCGCAGCAGCAAAGATAGTTCCTGCTGCTGCTGCTGCTGCTGCTGTTGCTGCTGCTGCTGCAGCTGGTCTTGGTGCTCTGTCTCTTGCTGCTGCTCAGGGCTGTCTGTGCTGCCCCCCGTATCCAAACGAGACATCTGCTGCTGCTGCTGCTGCTGCTGCTGCTGCAGCGCTGCTGCTACTAGACTGCGCGCTACAGCAGCCAGGCGTTTGTTGAGCTGCTGCAGCAGCAGCTGCTGCTGCTGCTGCAGCTGCTGCAGCACACCGGCCTCAGCTCGGCAGATGCTTTCAGGTGCTGCTGCTGCTTCTGACTGCTGCTGCTGCTGCTGCTGTTGCTGCTGCTGCTGCTGCTGCTGCTGCTGATACTGCTGGTCTATTCGTTCGAACTCATCTCGGGTGTATAGGCAGCTGCTGATGCATGCAGCAGCCAGCAGCAAATCCCCCTCTTCAAGAGCTGCAGCAGCACGCTCTGCAGCAGCAGCAGCAGCAGCAGCAGCAGCAAAAACAACAGCAGCAGACAAATTGCTTCAGGGTATACAAATCTCGCAACAGCAGCAGCAGCAGCAGCAGCGGCAGCAGCAGAAACACAAACGGCAGCACGAGGAGCAGCAGCAGCGGGAGCAGCATCGGACCTAGAAGCAGCAGCAGAAGCGGCAGCAACAGCAGCAGCAGCAGCAGCAACAGCAGCAGCAGCAGCGTTTACTTTGTTGTGTTCGTATGGCGTTGATGTGCCTGGCTATTTCTGCTGCTTGCTGCAGCAGCTGCTGCTGTTGCTGCAGCTGCTGTATAGGTGTGCTGATTGCTGCTGCTGTTGCTGCTGCTTCTCTCAGCTGCTGCTGCAGTCTTGCTGTTTCTGCTTCTGCCTGCTGCTGCAGCTGCTGCAGCTGCGGCAGCAGCTTTTCCTTTATGTGCTGCTGCTGCTGCTGCCGTTTGCTGCTCAGCAGCAGCTGCAGCAGCAACTCGTCGCAGAGACTGATGTGCTGCTGCAGCTGCTGATCATCCTGCAGCAGAAAGGAAACAACAGGATCAGCAGCAGCAGCAGCAGCTCCTGCTCCTGCTGCTGCTGCTGCTGATGGTGGTGGAGGAGCAGCAGCAGTTGTTGCTGCTTCTGCTGCTGTTGCTGCTGCTGCTGTTGCTGCTGCTGCTGCAGTTGAAATGCTGCTGCTGCTGCTCGGGGCAGCAGCATCACGCGCAGCAGCGGTCGCCATCATTGTTATAGACAGCAGCAACTGCTGCTGCTCGCCGTGTGTATGCTGCTGCTGCTGCTGCTGCTGCTGCTGTTGCTGCTGCGTGCTCTAAGCTGCTGCGTGGCGGCGGCGGTTAGTGCTGCTGTCGCTGCTACCGCTGCTGCTGCTAATGACGCTGCTGCTGCTGCGATTGCTGCTGCTGCTGCTGCTGCTATTGCTGCTGCTGCTGCTGCCTCACGAGGTCTCCTGCTCCCCATGACCCGCCAGAGTCGGCAGCGGCTGCTGCATGCAGCAGCAGCAGCAGCAGCAGCAACAGCAGCAGATGCTGTTTGCTGCTGTCTATTGACAAGTAAAAACACACAGCCCAGCTAAAGGAAGCAGCAGCAGACTTGCTTCTCAT